GGAAAGACATGGCCACAGGCACTGGCCATGCTACTTCCCACCACCGCAGACGCGGCCACCAAGCACCACAGCCGGTGCAGTCCCTCTCGAGACCACAGTGGCCCAGCAGGCCCAGAACAGTGGTGGGGGATGCAGCGTTCCCAGATTTTGAGCTAACCTGGCGGGGAGGGAGGCACTCCCATCACTGTCCCCAGGCAGCAAACCAGAGGCCTCCTGGCACCCCGGGCTAACCTGTGCTGCAGATCTGATAGGGCCTCCCTCCAGCACCCCGCAGGCGTCCCCAGTCGTGGAAGCCGCAGGTCCTTCTCCAGACCACCTCGGAGGATCGCTGGTGGCAAGTTTCACCAGGAAAATAATTGCCAAGGAGAAAGCAAAGCGTGCCCCAGTTTTGGCTCCCTCCAGGGACGGCTGGAGTTAGAGCCTCCAGCCAGTTAACACTACCAGGTAGGGGCTTCCCAGTTGGCTTAGTGGTAAAGAATCCGTCTGCCAATGCAGAAGACATGGGTTCGATCCCTGGGTCGGGAAGATCCCCTGGAAGAGGAAATAGCAACTCACTCCAGTACTCTTGCCTGGGAAATCCCATGGCTAGAGGAGCCTAGCGGGGCTACAATCGGCGGGGTCGCAGAGTCGGCACGGCTGAGCACACAACACAACAACAAGGGCACAAGCAGAGAACGCCACCCGCCGAGGCAGGGGCTGGGTGGGGAGACGGAAGCCGCGCCAGGGATGCGCGACGTGGACAAGTCACCACCAAAACTCTAGGAATGTTTCCCAGAAAAGCAGGAGTTGGACTGGCCAACCGTCCGATCATATTCCCAATTCCGAAGCAATTCCCGGCAGGCTGCAGTAATGGAGTCAGTCCTGCTCACCTGCCTGGCTTCCGCCTTAGTCTGAGAGTGTCCTCAAATACCAGGAACACAGAACACAGCCTAACCACTTTAGAATCCTTGCCAGGGTGGCAGCAGTGAGCAGCTCAGCAGGCAAACCAGTAATTACCACAGGTTTCTTGAGCGAATGCACATCCATACACACCCCAAGGACCAGGTCTGTGAGGACCCACGGCACCTTCTCCTTTCCTGGCAGCTCCACCATCCAGATGCCCCAGGGGGCTGGGGAGGGGGGCCACAGGGGAGAGCTCAGGCCCTCCACACAGGGTTTTGACCCCTGACCTTTGCCACGGCAGAGCTGAGTGAAGGTCAAGGCCCAGCGGGGACCCCTTTCTCCAGGTCAGCTTGCTTAGGAGGGACTTTTCTCCATTAGACCACCAGCTTGGACTTGCCTAGTGGTCCTGTGGTTAAGAATCCACTTGCCAGGGCAGGGGACACGAGTTCCCTCCCTGGTCTGGAAAGATCCCACGTGCTGGAGCAACTAACCCCGGGCAGCACAGCTACCTAGCCCGCACGCCCTGGAGCCCGGGCTCGGGAACAACAGGAGCCACCGCACCAAGAAGCCCACGCACCACAGCCAAGAAGAGCCTCTGCTCATCGCAACTAAGAAAGCCCGCATGCAGCAACGAGGAACCAGCGCCACCAAAACTAAAATAAATTTTTTTTTTTTTTAAAGAACGGCAGATGGGAAGACTCCTCGTTGTGGTAAGGCCTGCCTCTGAAAAGAACCAGGAGGCTGGCAGGAAAAGGCAAAATTACAAAGTCCATAAAACGAGAATCTTCACGAGACACCCCGCTCTCCCCACGGCCCAGCTGAGACCTGGCCCAGAGAAGATGCACAAACGAGGGAATGAACTGGTGTGGGCTGCGAGGCCAGCCAGGTGTCCCTTTGCGAGCACGTCTGGGGAACGAGAACATTCTATCTCCCTCAGTTCTCAGCCCCTGAGGAGGGCCTGGTGGAGACAGGGCACCATGTTCTGCTGGGATCTTCAAAGTCACCTCCCTACTTTTCTGTTTACCAATTCAGACTCTAGGTTCAGATTTTATCTCCGTCCTCATTTCATGTCTGAGAGAAAAAAGAAAAAAAAATACGTGGTGATGACGTCTGATGGATTTCCAGGAAATCTTCGGAAATTGAGAAGGGTCCAGCACACTGACTGACAAGTAGGAAGCAGACATTAAACCTTGGCTCCTTCCACTCCTTTGGGTCCAAAGTGGACCACTGCGCGGAGGAAGGAAAGGCAGCCAGGCAGGCTGAAACTTACACATCATCCGACCTACAATAAGGCACCAGCAGTTGGGCTCCGGGTCAGGACTTGCCGGGGCTCCTCACTGAGTGCTTATTTAATAAGGGCCAGGGTGGGCTGGGGTTCCTTGGATTCTGGGAGAAGTCTGGCATGCTTACGTAAGCCAAGCCCTCTTTTTCAAAAGCCAGGAATCCAATGTTGCAAGTCCAGTCTCTGGGGGCCCTGGCCTGGTATGTGAGAGGAGCCTGCAGAACAGGAAAGAAAGCCAGAATGGACATCACCACTGCCCCACAAGACCTCACCACGGGCTTCGGAGCTGTCTCTTGGCCTGTGTCACCCACCTCTAGGGAACAAGAGCCAGCTGTCCAAGGGCCTTCCTCCCAAATGTGGCCCATGGCATGAATGCACTGGATCCTCACTAGGAAAATTCATGGGCAGAATCTCTTGGTAGAAAGCATAAGGACTTACAGACACACGTGAGGTTGCAGGTTTAAGCAGTCTTGGCCCATTTTACAGATGGGGAAGCCTGAGATTCAGAAGTTATGGGACTTACTACCCAAGGTCAGATAGACAGAACCTGGACCTGATTTCCAAGCCCCAGGCTTTCCACCTACCACACCGCCCTCAAAGGTCAGGATTCTTTGAGTAACAAACTTTCCCCCTATTTTATCAGTTTGGTAAATCTCGATTTCAGAACCATTCTTACTCAGGGGTATTCTTACACAGGGGTGTATATAACAAATGTTTGATTCCACCCAACTGTGGCCTCTTCATAGACCACAGCATTGAGAACTGTAAGAGCCCACAGAAATCTCTCCACTCCCCTGTTCAGGTAAGGAGGCGAGGCCTAGGGAGCTAGATCCTGGGGTCAAAAGTCCCATCCCCCAAACAGCCCAGGTTTCGCCTTTTCAGGGAGGAGCTGGACCCGAATCCACAGCACAGCAGAGAAGATGGGGAGCTGGGTATTTGTTCTAATTCCCACTACCAATCCCCTTTGGGCCTTGGGATAGGTTTTTGGCTGCCAGAGCTGATCATCCAATAAACGCTCAGGAGGCAGGTCGCCGAATAAACCAGTGCAGAGACCTAAATATGGGATGTTCTAGGGTGTCCCGATGCCATTCCTTGGCCAAAATGAGCGACTTTGGGAGGCAGTGTACCATGGAGGCGAGGTGCCATTTCCAGAGAAATCACCTATCATTCTCCTGGATCCCCTCTTCGAACTAGGAGCATTTCAGAGCAACCTGGGGGGGGGGGGGGCGGGGGTAAGGGGGGACAATCCAAGAGAAGCCAACAGAAGACAACCTCTTATCCCAACAACACAGCAGTCCAACCAGACACATGCTTCTGGACAAGGACCCATCCTCCCAGAACAGAGCCACACAGGCCCCCTATTGTGTCGGTTTAAAAACTGAACTTTGCTGGGCAAACACACCCGGCTGTGTTCAAGAAACCACTTTCTCTTCGCCACTTGGAAAACAGCAGCATGCATGCAGGAGGGACAGTTGGGGTGGGGGGGTGCTGGTCGGTTTGTTTTTTAAGCCAAGCACTGGTCAGCACTGCTATAGTAACTGAAACAAAAATAATAATAGCCAGCACTGATTAGATCCTTCCAATGTCCCTGGTTTTGTCGCTTTTAAGAAAATAAAACTGAAGAAGTCTACCCCGAGCATTTTAGATCAAATAGGGCTGCAGGCTTCTGGTGCACACAGAGGATAGGGTCTGGTTATCACGGCCACAAATCACCCACTGGCCCCAAGGTGGCTGGCAGCGGCAATCAGCAATAAGAGGCTGTGGAGGGTTTGGGATGAAGAGTTAAGGTTCTAATAAAACAAAACATCTCCAGATCTGCAGAAGGCCAGATGTGATCAAGCAAGGTGGAAAGAGGCCCATTCTTCCAAACAGGGTCGCTATTAATACCAAGTGGTGCCTGGAATTTCACAGCTTTCCCAGCCTCTGGACAAAAGCAAGTTGGAAACGCACTAGTTTCCCTCTATTGTGTGTGACAGGAGAGGGAGAGACCGCCCCCGACCCCCTTCTAAGAACGCAATAACCCTTTTAATATTGGACTTCCCAGCTATCAGTTGAGAGAGTAGGGACCGCATGCTTTATTTCTTCTTTACACTGGAGGCTGTCTCCACTAGAACCCCTTAAATAGTGTCATCTTCCCATTGAAGGCTTTGGTCCTCAGCATAATCATTCCTAAACCAAAGTTCAATAGGGGGAAGGGCGGGGGTGCGGTGCCGATTGGTTATTACATTTTGAGCAGTGAAACACGGTGGCAGTGCGCAAGAGACGCACTCAAGGCAAAAATGCAGTTTCAGCAAACACTTTGATAAGCGGCAGACAAGAACCTGGAGGAGAGGAAAAGAAGAGACAAGACAGCGTCTGGGGCGTGCGGGGAAGGCAGACAACGAAGGGCCTGCGCTCACACTTCATGGGGATCTCCTCCCGCCCCGTCACCCCAGCCCACAGCGGCTGGGCTCCGTCACCCAGAGAAAAGTCCACCATGTGACTCAGTGGGAGAATGAGTCCCGCGGCCCGGCGAGCTGGAAACGCGGTGGGGGCGGAGGGCGGCGGAGGGGATGTCCGCGCGCAGCCCACCCCGCCCGCAGGCTCCGCCGCCCTCCCTCGCAGGTCGCACCACGCCCCTCCCCCCAAATCCCGCCCAAGGTGAGGGTCCTCGGGCCGCCGCGCCAGCGAGTGGAAGAGGGAGAGGAAGCCGCAAGAGATGACCGGGCTCAAGGATGCAACTGGGGAAGGAGTGAACTAGAGCCGCGAAAAAGGTGGGGCGCTTCCCGAGGCGCAGACCCCTGTCTCCTCAAACCCGGCGCGGGCCCCCCGATTCTCCGGCGTCGTGGCCCCTTACCTCCAGGGTCCGGATCTCCTGCTGGGTGAGGTCGTTGGACACGGCGCACTTGGTACGCAGCCCGCGCAGGCTGCCGATGGAGATGTCGATGAGCTTCTGGAGCTGCCCGCACTGCTGCAGCGCTCGGCTGGCCGCGGCCCCGGCGCCCCCATCCGCGCCCGCCGCGTCCCCCCCGCCGCCGCCGCCCTCCTTCTTCTCCCCCATCGCCGCCGCGCGCAGCGCCGCTCTATCCATGCCTGGGCATCGGGGCCGCGGGGTGGCCGAGGCGGCGGAGCCCGGGGGCGCGGGCGCCTCGAAAGGGAATCCTCGAGCCGCGAGGGCTGGACGAAGAGCGCCCTTCGGCGCTGCGGGAGCTGGGACGCGAGGACCGCCCGGCCGCCGAGTCCGCCCGCCCAGCCGCGGCGGCAAAGCGAAAGCCGCGGCGACCCGACGGCTGAGGCTCCCGGAGCCTTTAAGCGGCAGCGGGGGCCGGGTCAGAGCAGCTGGGCATGCTGGGACTTGTAGTCCCCGCCATGCACCTGCCGCCGCCCGCGCCCTCGGGGTCCCCGCGGGCGCCCGCGCCCGGCCGTCCCGGCCTTCCCTTCCGCTGTGGGCACAGGCCGCGCGGGAGCGCCCCGCCTCGGCGCCCCCGGAGGGTCTGCTGCGCGCCGGTTCCTCCCTCGGCGCCGGGATCCCGGGGAGCCTCGTCTCCCCGCCCACCCTCGCCTGCTCCCCATCCCTCCTCCGCGCTAGGGGCTTCCCACGACCCCCCGGATGAGGCGAGGTGGAGCCGATGGCCCCTGGACGGGAGGAGGGTTCGCATCCTGCAATTCCTCGGCTTCAGCCGAACCCTGAAAGACAGGGACAGTGGAAGTTTCAGAATTTCTGTGTGGGTTTAGGGGCCGCCATCTAGTGGGAAGGGGCCTAAAGTACTGGTCCCGGTGGAGATCCGCAGAGCCCAGGACTCCCGATTGTCCAGCCAGAGAAAGGGCTCAGTCTTGGAAAGACGCAAGACCTTCTAGATGCTATTTACCCACCAACATAAAGGTTCCATCCCTCCACCACCTCAACCCAGCAGGCCAGTCCAGACACTGGGGGTGACAGTTGATTTGTCGTGCCTTTGGAAGTGCTGGAGAGCCCTGAGCCAGTCTGAGTTCAAGTAGCGTCTACCCCTGCCTAGCCACTGGCTTGGTTGGCTCAGTGGACCTGAGTCTGGGCAGATTTCTGGAGGCAGTGAAGAACAGGGAAGCCTGGTGTGCTGCAGTCCATGGGATCCCGAAGAAGAGTCTAAAGCAGCTGAGCCACTGAACAACAAGCAACTGCCAAACTGACTTTAGGCAATTAGCTCACCTTTGAGTGTCTGAGTTTCCCCATCAGTTAAAATGCGGCGATAATAGAGCCTATTTGATAAGGTTCCTGGGACTTCTCAGATGGCTCAGTGGTAAAGAATTCACCTGCCAGTACCAGAAATACCTGTTTAATCCTTGGGTTGGGAAGATCCCCTGAAAGAGGGAATGGCAATCCACTCCAGTATTCTTGCCTGGAAAATCCCATGGACAGGGAGTCTGGCAGCCTACAGTCCAGGGGGTCACAAAGAGTCAGACACGACTGAGCGCACATGCACAGTATGGTTCAGATGGTGGTGTTCAGTCCCTCAGTCACGTCTGGCTCTTTGCGACCCCGTGGACTGAGGCACGCCAGGATTCCCTGTCCCTTACCATCTCCCAGAGCCTGCTCAAACTCATGCCCAAGGAGTCGGTGATGCCATCCCATCATCTCGCCCTCTGTCATCTCCTTCTCCTCCTCATATGAAGAATGAGTTCATGTGTACACAGAACCTGAATTGATAATTGCCACGTGTGGGCACTAGATAAATGTTCTCAATGGTTACTCTTCGACTTCAGGTCTTGTGACCATGGCCCCACACCTGAGCAGTGGGCATGGGCAAAATACTGCTCCTGGACTGGTCGTTGTCTGTTTATGCCTTTCCGTGACTTCTAACTCAGTATTCAACACCCCCACCGTATTCCCCCACCCTCCCCTCCCACCTCCTATGAGTTCCTGTGGGCTCTATTATCTGCCTAAACTGAATAGACAAGACTCAGATCAAAGGTCCCACACATCCATACTTTCAACATCTGCCAACCAGAAGAAATCTCTCTCCTAAGCTCCTTGGCTGCAGAAGCTGCTGGTTAAATATCTTGGTATCCTCTCCACAGAACCAAATCCAGAGCATGGCACACAGCAGGGGATCCATAAAGCTGTGCAATCCACTGAGTTTTTCACACAGGTCCTGGCCCCTGAAACAGAAACTCTGTAACAGTGGTTCTCAAACTTGAGAGTGGATCAGAATCTCCTGGAGGGCTTGTTAATCCACAGAATGATGAAACCCACTCACTGAAATTCTCATTCAGTAGATCAAGGATGAAGTGGAGGATTTGCATTCTAACTTGTTCTTGTGTGATGCTGATGCCGCTGGTCTAGGAGCTGAATTTTGAGCATCTTTTTCACAGAGGAAGGTCATGGACCAGGAAAACTATCTCCAGGGAGGATCCATACCCAGGCTACAGTGGTTGATTCAGAACCTCTGTTTGTTCAGCAGCCAGAACTGCCAGGGTTGAGTGACTGGCTCTCTCTAACTCAATTCACAAAAGATTTCCTGATAAATGCCTACTATGCAATTACATCAAGCTTGTAATTGGGCCTGGGTCAACACGTTTTTCCACAGGGCCACCTTATGTGGAAGCCATGTCCTGTCTAGGGCCATTGCCAGCCTATGGCATCCACGCCTATGAGGGCAATGATGGTAGGGCTGGAGACTGGACAAGCCTTAGATCCCTGGTTATTCTCCTGCCAGGCCATGCAGCGGTCCCTCTTCTGTGGACACAGTCTTCCTTCTGGTAGAGAACACTCAGTAAGCCATCTGTTCCTTCCCAGTTCATCTCAGGCACACTCCAGCCTTCTCAACTGGGTTTACAGAACTGCCTCTTAGTGATAGAAAAGCAAAGATTTAAAAATAATCCCTTCATTCATCCTTTTAACATTCCATAAGTATTCAGTAAACCAGTCAATCCTAAAGCAAATCAACCCTGAATATTCATTGGAAGGACTGATGCTGAAGCTGAAGCTCCAATACTTTGGCCACCTGATGCAAAGAGCCAACTCATTGAAAAAGACTCTGATGCTAGGAAAGGTTGAAGGCAAAAGAAGGAGGCAGCAGAGGATGAGATGGTTAGATAGCATCATTGATACAACAGACATGAATCTGAGTAAACTATGGGAGATAGTGAAAGACAGGTGAGTCTGGCATGCTGAAGTCCATGGAGTTGCAAAGAGTTGGATATGACTTAATGGCTAAACAGCAAGTGTCTACTTATGTGGCAGGCCCTGTTTTGGACTCTGGGAAACAGTAGTGAACAAAGTAAAGATCTTTACCCTCTGGGAATTTATATTATGGTGAGAGAAGACAGAAAATAAATAGGGAGAATGCACAGTGTGTTAGGTGGTAACAGGTGCTGTGCACAGCATAAAGCCTGGAAGGGGACAAGGAGTGTCTTGTTTCAGAGCTGTTTTAGGAACTGGAGTTCTCAGTGTGGTCTCTGAATCGCTGCATGACCTTAGGCAAGTCTCTTAACTCAGAGCCCTGCTCCTGACTTGCAAGTTGGAGATTCTGTGTTGTGAGGATGAACTGGGATCATTATGTAAGTTATGGTCACAAAGGAAGGGTTCCACGTATTTGTGTTTATCCAATAAGTAAATTCACAATAAATTCCTTCTTCACTTTCCAGAGTGTGTCTCCTCTGGTGAGATGAATTCATCTATTAGATGTTTGTTTTAATCTTTTAACATTTTTTCAAATTTTTATTTATTTATTTGGCCTCAGGGGGTCTTAGTTGCAGCTGCAGGATCTTCACTGGGGCATTCGAACTCTTAATCGTGGCATGTGGGATTTAGTTCCCTGACCTGGGATCAAACCCAGGACTCCTGCATTGGGAGCATAGAGTTTTAGCCACTGGACCCCAAGGGAAGACCCCATCTATCAGGTGTTGATTCTTAGGTTTGGCTTCGGCTCTTGAAACTTTTTATGTGACTCCCTCATATAAAAACTTCGCCTCATCTCTCCTCCTACCCCTCTGCCACAGGACACTCTGTTGGCAGCACTCAAGTTTCCCCAGCTTGGACTCCCCTATCTGCATCTCAGCACCCCGGCAGCCATGCAAGCACGTTCATGAATAGACCAACAAACAAGAAAAACCAAGTCTTTATTCAAGTGGAACAAATGTGAGAATGAAGACCAGTAATTAACAAGTCAACAAGTATATTGCCAAAATAAATTCGCAGAATGATAAGTGCTATGAAGGGGGGAGAAAGCAAACAGTGATAGCAAGTTCCCAGGGGATGAAGTGCTTCATTAGATGAAGTGGTCAAAGTAGTACTATCTGAAGGATCATTGAACTGAGATCTAAATAAAGAAAAGGAACCAGCCAGCTGGAGCTCTGGGAAAGGGGCATTCTAGGCAATGGGAACACCACGTGCAAAGGCCCTGAGGCAGGAACACGCTGGCACACTCCAGGAACAGAATGAAGGCCAGTGTGGCTACAGCGTGATGTGGGAGCAAAACGGGTTAGAGATGACGTAGGAATGCTGGAGAGAGGTCAGATAAAGTAGGACATGGGCAGGAAGTTTGGATTTTTCTCTAAGTCTTTGTTAGTCCTAGTGTGGTCCAAGAGTACTGCATTGCCTGGGAGCTTGTTAGCAATGCAGTCTCCCCACCCCAGGCCAACTGAATTACAACCTGGATTTTAGCAAGAGCCCCACATGACTTGAGTGGATTTTAAAGTTTTGGAAGCATAGCTCTCTTAAGTACATGGAAGGAAAACCACATTCCTTGAGAGGTGCTTTAAGAGCTTTCTCTGGGGGTGGAACTTCCCTGGTGGTCCAGTAACTAAGACTCCGTACTCCCAGTTCAGAGGGTCTGGGTTCGATCCTTGGCCAGGGAACTGCAGCAACTAAAGATCCCACACACCAAAACTAAGACCCAGTGCAGCCTAATAAATATTTTTCTAAAGAAGACTCCCCTGGGGAGTTCCCTGGTGGCCTAGTGGTTAGGATTCTGGGCTTTCACTGCTGTGGCCTGCATCCAATCCTTGGTCCGGGAACTGAGATCCCAGAAGCCCAAGGCAGAGCCAAATAAAATTAAAATTCCTGTGGCCACCACACGGAGAGTGGATGGTCAAGAGGCAGGTGCAGAAGCA